TAAAAGGCGTTTTAATCCCGTGGACCGCTGTCATATAACTCTATTCACCAAATTATCTAAACGTTTCTTTTGTCACCTTGGAGGTTTCTTATACAATAAGGTCAATAAGATTATTAATATATTTAACGTTAACAAAACTATATGCAAAAAGAAAATAACTATCTCGCTCCAAGAACTAAATTATTATGACACAGAACTACTGCTTACTAATTCTATGTCGAATCAAAGTTAATTACTAACCCAATCACAAACTAACAAACAAAAGCACGCACACACACACACACACACACACACACACACACACACACACACACACACACACACACACACACACGAACGCACGCACGCACGCACGCACGCACATTAATACTAGCACCACTTTTTAATATATCTAGAATCCTAATTCAATAAAAGAAGATATTATGTAAATTATAAATATGGTACATGTACGAGTGCATAATAAAAGTATTGTAAATCCAACCATAGGGCGGAGACCTGGCGTCCTGAAATACAGGCGTAAAGCCTAGCTTAGGCACCAGTCTCCCACAGTATATTATTGAGGCTATACTATAATATTATGTACAATAATTCTGTATTGTGGTGAGAAAATAAAATAAATTATTATTATTATTTTGGGGTATCTATAAAGTTTTCTCATCTGGTTGGGCAGTATAAATATAGAATTGTAAATGAAAGTGGTAAACATACATAAATATCAATTAAACAAAATAAATACATAAAAATACATAAATATATAAAAACCCAACCAGATGGAAGCCCTCGGCAGGGGAGACCAGACGGCTGAGGGTTAAGGGGAAAGGGAAAGAAACCGGCGGACGATGCGGGCGATATCGAGGAGCACCGCCTTCGGCATTTGAGCCTGGAGCGGTCCGTCACGGAGTCCCAGTCGCCTCAGATGACCTGAGACGCTGACTGGGATTAACCCGTTATTATTATGGGGTATTTGTATAGTTTTCTCATCTGGTTGGGCTGTATAAATATAGAATTGTAAATGAAAATGATAAACTTACATAAATATCAATAAAATAAAATAAATACATAAAAATTACATAAATATATAAAAACCCAACCAGATAGAAGCCCTTGGCAGGGGAGACCAAACGGCCGAGGGTTAGGGGGAAAGGGAAAGAAACCGGCGGACGATGCGGGCGGTATCGAGGAGCACCGCCTTCTGCATTTGAGCTTGGAGCGATCCGTCACGGAGTCCCAGTCGCCTCAGATGACCCGAGAGGCTGACTGGGATTAACCCGTTCGCAGAGACGACCACAGGAATAATTTCGGCCGGCAGACCACCCCACATGTCGGTCACCTCGTGAGCCAGGTCCAGATATTTTGTCAACTTATCTGTTTCGGCTTTCACGAGGTTCTCGTCATAAGGAATGGTAATGTCGACCAAAAATATCCTTGACTGTGCCCGGTCCATCAGCACAATATCAGGCATATTCACAAGAATAGTCCTGTCCATGATGATGGCCCGGTCCCAGTAGAGCCTGGCGCGGTCATTTTCGAGTACGGCTTCCGGCAAGTAATTATAATATGGCAGTTGCCTATCCACGAGACCGTATTTCAGAGCGAGCTCCTGGTGTAGAATCCTGGCTACTAGGTTGTGTCTGTGCAAATACTCAGAGTTAGAAAGCGCCGAATAACCGGAGGTGACATGCCTAAGTGACTCATCGGGATGGCAACAAGCTCGACAGATGTCGACGGCGCCATCCTTTAGGATGTATTTCCGATAATTGTTGGTCTTAATAACCTGATCCTGTATCGCACAGACAAAACCCTCGGTTTCCCCAAAGAGGTCACCGAAACGTAGCCAGTAGAGGGAGGCGACTGTGTCTACGCAAGGCTCATGTAGAGCCTTGTAGAACCTCCCGTGAAACTCCTTCTCCTTCCATACGGTCTCCCGGTCGGAAATGCTCTGTACTGCCGGGTCTTGCCATTGCTCGTTGGCTAAGGATAGACGGGTAAGTCCTTTATCACAAGAAATAACGTCCCTATAGAATGGATCATCCGCTCTCGTCAGAAAGTAATTACGGAGGCTGCACACTTCGCGATTATACATGGTAGCGCGCTTAAAAAGCCGCGCCCACCATGTTTCCGCGGAGGTACAGCCTCATTATTGACGATCTAGGATGATGCATCCTATGGGACTTCATTATAGTGCGGACTTTTCTGTCCAGAGCGTTCAGTTCGGTCTGAGTCCATCTAAGCATGCTAAAGGTATACATGAGAACAGGCATGATCCAACCGTTATATGCATGTGTCTTATTAACGCCCGACAAAAGACTGTTAAGCAATTTTGTCAAGCGTGCATAAAACACACCGCAAACAGATTGTTTCATGTCTGCCTCATCGATACCTATGTTCTGTGACATACCCAGGTATCGGTATGTTTCAGCCTCGGATAGGGTCTTTATGTTGATGGGCATAGATAAGTCTATGCCCTCAGAGTTAGCAACCCTACCCCTTTCAACATGGTGGACCGCACACTTATCCGTCCCCAGCCCCATTCTAATAGAATTGCTAAAATCACAAGTGATGTTTAGCAATTTCATAAGGTGAGAGCGACTGGAGGCGAATAACTTGAGATCATCCATATAGAAAAGGTGGGTCACTTTTGTACCTCCTCTTCGAAGCTGAAATCCCCTCCCGGAACCTTCCAGTAAGGTACTAAGAGGGTTCAGAGAGAGGCAGAACCAGATTGGACTCAAACAATCGCCCTGGAAGATACCCTTTCTTATCCTTATGTGGTTCTCCGCAGCCATCATCCGCTCGCCTAGATGACAAAGGATCGTACTCCACTGCCTCATACACTGCCCGAGGAAGTCTCGAACTGTACAGTCAACCTTGTATACCGAGTCAAATGCCTTTTTGTAGTCTACCCAGGCGGCGGAGAGGTTCCGACGGTTGCGTTTAACCACCTTGCCAATGACCGCGTCAATGAGGAGTAGTTCCTTGGTTCCACGACCGCCGCCCCGACATCCATTTTGAGCGCGCGACATCACCTGATTTGAGTTCAGGTGACGAGTGATTCTCGCGCTCAAAATGGATGTTAGTGTCTTGTATATGGTAGGTAGACACGTTACTGGGCGGTATTTCGGGTCTGTGGAATCCCGGTCTTTAGGAACCAAATAAGTGATCCCAGTAGTGAAAAGGCTCGGGAGCGACTTTTGGTCGAGAGCCTCTTGAAACTGTCGGGCGAGAACAGCGTGACACACCACGAACCCCTTCAGCCAGTAGTGATGCAGTACGTCGAGTCCCGGACTTTTCCAGTTCGGGGCCCTACGGACCGCCTCAGCTACGTCATCCGGCGTAATGATGACGGGGTTCATGGGCGTAACATTCGCACACTGACTCGCCACAACTTCCGTCCAAGGGCCCTCGCTGTAGTTTACGGGCTCTGACCACAGGCTGCGCCAGAATGCGATAGTGTCGGCCTGATACGGTGCTGGGCCCGTTCCACGTACCATTGGTCGCTCCAATGATTCATAGAGCCTCTTCTGATCACTCTGGAAGCGACGATTCTGGTTGAACCGTGTGGACCTCTCGGTATATCGCCGAATCCGCTTCCCCCAAGCAGCGATTCTCTGCTTCAGGTCGTCTATGTGCTCCGTCAGTTTTTGCGTTATATCCGGCTGGGACAAACTGATGTTTCCGGCCGGCTCGAACCGGGGTGGTACCACGACCTCACAGAAAACCAGCGTGAAGTAGAGATTTACCTCTGCGTTTCGCTTGGTGAGTGCAGGTGGCCGGAGGCCCTTTTTACTGGAAATGAGGCATTCCATCTTAGTCCTCACGGGTGACAACGCATCTACATTTTGATTTGTAATAGAGGATAGATGTAGATGTCTATGGGCCGCAGCAACCACTTACCATCAGGTGGACTGTGTGCTCGTTTGTCACCCTTATCCTATAAAAAAAATGGTTACCTTGATGCATATAGTCAACATGGAAAAATACCAAAAAAATACCGAGTTTTCAGGAAAGCTCGGAAAATGCGGATCGTTTTAACGATCATTAGTAATAGGCAGGTAGGTTAACGCTCATAATAACTACCACTTTATCGATTGTATCCAATTTTAAATTAAAGAAACACAGTTATTACTATGAAAAAGGCTTTATTATCTAATTGAAAATTTTTAATTAACAAACAAATCCACCTATGTGGAGTATGGTAAGTTTTTTTTTTTTTTTATAGGATAAGGGGGACAAACGAGCACACAGTACACCTGATGGTAAGTGGTTGCTGCGGCCCATAGACATCTACATCTATCCTCGTTTGCGAATCAAAATGCAGATGCGTTGTCACCCGTGAGGACTAAGATGGAATGCCTCATTTCCAGTAAAAAGGGCCTCCGGCCACCTGCACTCACCAAGCGAAACGCAGAGGTAAACCTCTACTTCACGTTGGTATTCTGTGAGGTCGTGGTACCACCCCGGTTCGAACCGGCCCATCCGTGCGACAGCAAAAGCTGCCGCGTGGCTCTACCACTGTTAAAAGTAAGTAAGTAAGTAGCAAAACATGTTTAAGGGTGCAAATGGATTTTACATTTTTGACAAGTGAAGTTTGTGTTTTTTTTGCAAAGCGAACATCGAAAGCTGAGAGTCATTGTACTCTACTAGATGATCAACTCTATCATAGCGTGAAGTTTCCCTGTAAGTTCTAGAAGTGGGACAAGGAACGCGTTTCTCATTTTTTTTATATGTTTCCAAGATTCCTCTAGCGATAGTTCTCCGGAATGTGAAATGATCGTACTCTCCTCCATTATTTTTATAAAGTTGCCACGCATTGTGTGTCGCCATGTCCAAGCGGTGAGAAAACAATGAGAAAACCATTTCTTGCCACGGATAGATGTACGATATAGACCGATGTTTTGGTCGGACCTATCGACTCCCCTCATGTTCTCATTGTAGCTTTTTATAATTGCAGGCTGATCAATGTATACATATTTTTTCTGCTGCTGCGAGAACCGTTTAGCTTAATGTAAGGGTTCAATGTTTTCTAAATTGGATGCTACTGACACCACACTGTTATCATTCCACTTGCAAACCAAAATATGCCCTGGTTGGCTAGACTTATACTTGAATGTGCCTCTTTCTGTCTTCTTGAATTCTTTATTGGACGGCAAAGGACCCTTTTTTGTACGGTCCTCACGAATTGTTCCAGTGGCTTTGAGCTCTCTGTTACTCAATTCGTGGAAGAGTGGAATAGAAGAAAAGAAATTGTCAAAGAATAAGTGACAAGGCGCACCTGGGTGACGAAATTGTAAATAATCAGCAAAACGTAAAATCACACCAGCTCCCATACCTAACTGCCGATAAGCCGGTGGAATAATTGCTGCATGGCCTTGGTACGAATCAAACCATAGTACGTATCCCAATCTAGTCGCTCCAACCCAAAACTTATATCCCCATCTGATCGGTTTTCCACGTATAAATTGTTTACAGCTGTGTCCCCCATAATAAGGTACCATAGCCTCGTCAATGCTGTAAATTTCTTCTAAAGGAGCCATATTCAGGAATATTTCGTTCAGAATATCGAAAAGTGGTCTCAACTTTGCAAATTTGTCACTTTCAGTAGTTATATGAGCATTGTCACAACAGTGGAGGTGAGTCATCATAAATGTAAATCTATCCATCGACATGGCGTTATATATAATACTAAAATCAGAGTCTGTTGATTTCTCCCAGTACATGTATCTTCGAGGAACTACGGTATATCCACTGTAAAGAAGTATAGCAAGGAAACACTTCATTTCACTTGTTGTCACATTACCCACTTTGTTCTTTTGAATCCCGTAAATATTTGTATATTTGACCAATAATTTGATAACACAGTCATCAAACATACAGTCAAAGTAATACATGGGCGTTTGAAGGTGTCTTGGCCCATGGTTTTCTTGCCATTGCGGTCGGTCGTGAGGATTATGGCGATTTCTCCGAGTATAATTTTGATTTTTTGGTAAGGTTGGATCAACAAAAGGAACTGCTGACGTGCTGCTAATAACTGGAGCTGAATTAGATGTAGATGGCTCAGGTTGACGACCTTCCACAATCAGGGGTTCTTCGGTGGTTCGACTTCTTTTTGCTAAAGAAGACAATGGTACACTGTCCTCCTCACTGTCGGAACACATGTATTTTATCTCAGCATGAGCTCTTAGCTGAGAACCTAGATAGAAAAATATAAATATATATAGAGGTATATAACAACTGATATGAGAAAATAACGTAAAGATTTAGACGAGGTCTATATCAAACCTGGAAGATTGTTCAGAGTTACAAACTCCTCATCACCAGAATCTTCATCGGTGATATCAGCATTCGCGTTATCTGGTGGTAAAATGATTATATCTCTTGGAAGTGGGGCATCATCATCTAATTGTTCCAATTCATCAATGATTTGATTGAGAGACAATGGTTTACTGGTATCCCTAGGTCTGAAAGTCATAAATACATCCCCAAATTACTACCGATCGCTAAAACGATCATCAGTTATAATATCATTTGTTTATTATAAAAGATATGATAAGATCGAATTTTATTTCACAGTTTTGTTAGATAGGTTATAAATTTAAAAAAATGTGCATAAAATAAAATTCAAAGTCAAGTTAATTTGTAAACACTTACCGTTTTGAAGACATTGTGAAAGTTAATTACGCTAATACGAATTAAAATACAAAAGCACTTCAAAATTATGATCATAAGATAATTATCTATGCACCGAAACACTATCAAACGATCACTGCGGCGATTGGTAAACAATAAGCAAGAGTTATCCGTTGATTGTTATTTTAAAATTGAGGGTATTCCCCATATTTTTTTTTTATCTTTATAACGATCGGTCGTTGTAAATGGGTTAATTCCATCATCCAAGAAGTGGGCGTCTCCCCTGGTGACTATCTCGTCTGGTGGTTATTATTATTATTATTATTAGAGAATGCCTTTTCGGCATTAAGTTTGCCTTTGTAAATTGTTTTCAGATTCTCGGACACAACCGGAGTGAAATCAGACGTAAAACTAACGGTTTCACATAATTTCCAAGGCAAGGTGGTAAAATACCGCCAACTTCCTGACTTCGGGCTGCAACTGATAATTTTTTGATAACTGATTTTGGCCCGATTCGGGATTCGAACCCGAGACCACATGATCAGTAACCGCTTTTACAACCACTAGACCAACGAGTCAGTTGAGGGTCTGTACAATGATTGAAACCCTTCATAATTACAAATCTTAACACAGAACTCCCCTTGTTACTGCCACGAAGCAAGATTGCCACAAGCTTCTACCCTATCTATTCACACCTAATCAGTCAGTCACTCTACGTTGACGCTGAAACTCGAAAACTTTTATCCTAGATACTCGTAGGTTGACTATTCTTCGGTATATTTGACGCATTGCTTCTTCAGTTCAGTATCGGTTAGAGTTTTGCATAGTTTTGTTAATGCCTATTCTTAGATACTTCAAGCTTCCTCATACGGCCAGCAGTGAGAACCAAGTATCAGTTATATAAGTCATCACTGGCAAGTCAGTACTAGAAATGTAGTGATTATAAATTATTTTACATAAAATAAAATGGTGTCGTCGCAGGCGACCATCTAGCGACAGCTTTTTTAAAGAAAAGAAAAACCATGTTTGAAACAAAGAAAAACCGTTGTAAGAAGCCTTTGAAAGAAGCCTTTTATTGAACGCCATTATCAGGTAGCCAACACCATATCGAAGTAAAAAAATAATTTTCAATTTGATAAGAGTATTGAAATAAAGGAACTAAAATATCGCATACTTGAATGAGTCAAGCATATAATATGGCGGAACCGTGGTAAATCATGAACATACACAAAATATTCTGCGTGAGTTCATTGAATATTTCCAAACCCGTGAACAATCTAGATATTACTAGCATAAGCCATTTCACTCACGTTTCAGCATGTCTACGAAATTCATACTTCACGTTAATAATTTTTCCATTCACGTTCCGCCCATTATTGGTTTAAAAATATCTTATGCCCTTATTTCGTCGACAAATTTTGCGTCGGGTAATTTTTCTTAATGCTTTTTAAGTGTTGGTAATTGTAAAAAATTTGTTACAAAAATATTTCTTAAATAACTGTCACGTAGAAGGGGAGATTAACGTCTCGCCTCAATTTGAATTGGCAAACTCATCTCACGTGCTCGAAGTATTTTAATTTCTAAAATCATTGACGTTTGCTTGCGACCTTTTAGATAACGACTATTTGTTACTTCTATTAAAGAATATTTATGTTAGGGCTAATGTTAGATTGAATAATATTCTTAAGATTAACCAGTCAAACTAAAGTTTAGTTTATTACTCCGATTTAGGTTCGAGCGTGATTTTTGTCCAATCCAACCGGCAAATTTGTACTGCAATTATATTATAGTTGCAGCGTAGTACCACGTATACCTACACTACATGTTTTATTCTAGTTTATGATTTCGAGTTGAAAACTCTATTGAAAAGGCAAGCTCATAAATTGTGTAAGGCGATACCACGGTCGTAATTTAATAATTAAGCTTTCAAAGAAGTGTTAAAGAACGCCTACAAATATGAAATAAAGCGTTTCTTTAGTGCTTGCCTAATTAAATCACTGCATAATAACAAAACATTATAAAACTTTTAGTGTCCTTAAATGTTTTAAAAGTGTCTAAACTGAATATTTTATGATATCTTAAATTAAAACGTTAACTATAACAGTATGCAGGATTTACTCTTGAATTGTTGAGGCTTTTTAGTACATAACTTGCACATGGACTAAAATCCAAACACTGGATAATTAATCTATGCAAATAATTGAAGGGCGCCGCTATCCTTTTTACGTAATAGCGAATTAGCTACTTTTTCGCAGTGACCTGATCGTGATTGAACGGAGTTTGTGGAATCTCAGTATATTTGAAAAGAGCAGACAACATTTCTTAAAGGTATTAAGTAAGTTATTCTTTATAGCCTATCAAAAGTCTCAAGCAGTGAAAAATAAGCTTCCCTAATAAACTGCCTTAAAAGAGGGATATTTGCCATAGTTGCTCAGGCTTGGCAAGCGGGTTGGCAACCGCAATTTTCTTATTTTTATTTATAAGAAGAAGACGCTGTTTCCTGGTTTGTTTCCCTACGTGGCCTCTTACGACACCCACGGGACGATATCGGTTAGTTAGTGGCTATTTTTACAACGCCACTACACGGTTTCTTTTAGTTATGGATCTGAGCATTATTATCTGCAGTTTTGTACGAGGTTTTCAAAGATGAGAAAGGAAATTGCTGCGTTTATCGTTTTTACCCAGCAAGATATTATCAACGAAAGATTTACAATAGTAAAGAACCTTCTAAACTTTAAGTGGTTGCAGTGAGTTTGGATTAAATTGGAATACTTGGTGTGGGGCTACTGCGATGAATTAATCAGCTGAAACTGTACGCATTAATAGTTAAGCTCTCCATGTTAATAGAGATCACAATCTTTGCTGGGTCTGTGAAGTGATGTTTATTTTAGCACATGTTACAGTTGAACCATCGCTATAAATGGACTTGCTGATGAATGAGTGTACCAGCCGGAAGATCGTAGAAATTATCGAATATGCATCAAATTAATAAGAATTCGCTAATTTTATTTCTTCCTAGTAATCCACCCCGGCTTCGCTTAGGTATAATCTTTTAATGTGACAATATTTATTTTATCTAAGACCATTTATTTTATATATTTTTTTGTTTTCCATATAAAGCATACGCTAAAACTTATGTATAGAATACGTCCATAAAATAGCCCCCTGTAATAGCGAGTAAGAATACCCTCTACCACATGTCTTCCTGGGTAACGTAAGAGGCAACAGAGGGCATATAAGGCAGAAGATAGGAGCAGCGTCTTTCTGATAACAGCAAAACAACAATAAAGAAACTACGGTTACCAACTCACTTGCCGAGTGTAGCAAGTATGCCAATATACCCCCCATCAATAAAGTTACAAAGAGACGGCCCCGAGACCCCAGCGGCCCCACTCTTTCTGGCTACGGTGGTGATCATGGTAACGGCAGTACAGGGGGTGCTTAGAATTTCCGGTAGAGTTTCAGTTGACACATAAGATGACACAACCTGGCAACATTTAACGCTTAGAACTCACGTGATTCAAGAGCTGGAAGAAGAGGTATACAAGTTGTGCTGGAATATTATAGGATTATTCAAAATTCGAAGAGAGGGGGAGAACACAGTTATTCTCGAATCCGGCAACTTGTTCTATCACCGGTAGGGCAACCATCTGTCCCAAGAAGGTGACGGATTTATAGTCACAAGTCTCCGGTTAACAACGTTGTAAACATTAGAAGTGCGTTGACAAGGGTTGCATATTTTATACTCAGAATCACCTAACAGTATTCGCTGAAGGTCATTAAGGTTTACGCTTCAACCTCGGCACATCCCCATGACGAGGTGGAGGAAATGTATGAGGATATATCTAGAGTCATGCATTCCTCTAAAACCCACTATACGGTGTTAATGGGAGACTTCAACGCTAAGCTAGGCACAAGAGAGCATCGTGAGCTGAGAGTAGGGAAATTTGGAATAGAGCAACCAAATTTCCCTACTTTCACCCCAGGGGGCAGCAGCTGGCCGACGTCATGGAAAAAGAGGGACTCTTTATGATGAACTCTTTCTTCCAGAAGCGGCCCCACAGAAGTTACGACAGTTAGACAAAAAATGAGATTGACTACATTATATTCGACAACTGTTCAGTGATGTTTTAGTGATCGCGATGGTGAAAACCGGCAGCAATCACCGAATGTTAAAAGGCACACTCAACCAAAATGTTAGGTTGGAAAGTTCTCATCTAATGATGTCAACGAACCGTCCCCCTCGTGCTCTAATCCGAAACCTTTCAGCTCGAACTACAAAACCGTTTTCAGTGCCTAGTAGATTGAAATGCAGTGGACGATATGAATGACAAGCTCGTAGAAACTGTCCATTCGGTGGAAGCTAAGCCCGGCAAGACTCGTCCCAGAAGAAGACAAAACTCTTCGATCACACTTTTAATCTCATAGCTATTATACGAGAAAAGAAGCTGCAGTTTTCACCAGATTTGAAAGTATACTGATAAATAAACATACAGATCTCCAAATTAAATGTAAAAGAAAGCTCGCATTGAAGAAGCGATCAAACGGAACCAGGGCTCCAAGGTCTATGCCATAGATCTATCTGCCAGAAAGAGCCAACTGTCGAAGGTAATGACCGAATGTGGCAGCGAATTTTCCGGGATACCTGGAATTTTGAGTGAGATTGAGAGGTTCTATGGGTAGCTGTACACATCATCGTTGGAGCCATTCGCAAGTATGAGTAACGACCCAAGAGCAAGTCTTATCCGACACTATTCCGATGATATTCTGGATGTCAGTTTGGAAAAGATTAAAATGACTCTCCAGCAC